ATGGGAAGCAAGCCCAGGTCTCAGGCCCCCTGCGGCCCCCACCACCCCTCTACTAGCCCCACTGCCCCCCTATTGCCACTGATAACCCTCAATAGCCCCCATTAACTCCCCAGTCTCCCCCTTGATTCTCTACCTTCCCCGGTGCCCCCCAACAGCCCCTGCTGACTCTCTAGCCCCCCCAGGGACCCTCGAGCTTCCCCAGTGCCCCCCTCCAGAGCCTCCCAGTGACGACCCGCAGGATCCTACTGCCGTCTCACAGCCCACCACTGGGCCCCTCCGCTTTGTTCCCCAGTTGCCCTCCCACCCTGAGCTGCCGTTTACCCGAGGAAAGAGACGGCCGCGGGCTTGGTGAGGGCCTGGGGGGCACCCAGCAGGGGCCTGGGGGCTGCGGGCTGAGCATGGGTGCCCGACGTGGGGTCCATAGCCTCCCTGATCTCCTTCGACTGCAGGAGGGTTTTCACCCCTGCGTTGGCCATGGCCCTGCTGGTGCTGGTCCGTACTGGAGGGGTTACGAGAGGTCTGGCTGCCCCCAGGGACAGCAGGGGGGCTCCTGCCTGTCACCCTGACCTCACAAACACTGGCTGTACTGGTCACCCACGGTTCCATGAGGTCACGAGGGGCTTCTGTCCCAGCCCCTCCCCTTATGTGCCTCAGGTTACCCTTTGGATTGCTGGTTTAGTCATTTCTATCCCCAAACTAGCCACCAGAATACTTGCAGATTTAGCACTCGATTTGGGGCCAGTCTTCCCCAGTACGAAGTGCCGCGGGGACGAGGGAGGAGGACTCCAACTCAGAAAGGGCAAAGGGTAAAGAATAAAGAATTTTTGGCAGCAGTGCCACTTCTGCTACCCTCTCTTGGCAGAGACGTGGGACGACGCCGGTGGAAGCTTAATTTTCACTGGAAGCCTCTGTCAGAACTGGCTGGTAGAAAAGGGCTTGCTAGCCTGGAACAGAGGACAGCCGTCGTGTGTGTGCGCAGGAGCTCGCCGCGACACCCGTCCTTTGAGCAGACTATTCCACAGTCCCCCGGGATCTACAGCATCTCTCCTGTTACTGTAAGGCCCACGTTGTCCTGCTGCCAGATCTTGGCAGGTCAGATAAAAAGTTCAGGAAAGGGGGTCGGAGATCACCGGGGCTTAGCCACAATGCTCAATGAAGGCAAAAGAAACTCCCGTGTGAGGAGCAACTGAAGAAATTGGGCTAAGGAGAAAGTAAATGACAGAAAAGCTGAGGCAATGCGGAATAAAGACTCTTTTATAGAAGAGATAAAGCAGCTGCAGTGCTCGCCTTGTTCGCTGAAGGAGGAAATCAGCCTTTAGCCATCAGTGGTGCTCATCGGGTTCTTCTTTCAGGGGTGGAATAATTTCTCCCGTCTCTAAAATCCTGTCCCCCTGACGGAATGAGAGAGGATGGTGAGCGTTTTCTCCCGCGCCCCGTCTCCCCCTTCACACAGCACAGTCTCTCAGTTAAGCTGCAGCTGTCCCCACTTCCAGACAAAAAAAAAAAAAACCTTAGTGCAACTTCCTCAGACCACTCTCAATTCACTCAGCATTTCCCAGGACGCTGAAATAACATCACAGCCAAATGATCTGAAATCTGTACTTGCTTCACCCCTTTCTTTTCAGCTACAGAACCGGAGCCAAACATTTCGAGACTGTATTGTTTTCAGAAATGCCCATGGGACTTACAGCACTGCGTAACCACCTTCAGCACAGCACAGCTGTGCGCGAGTCTCCAAACCCACGGCCTCGCAGCCCAGGAAGAGCTACGTAATCCCTCAGAAATCAACCCGATGCCCCGCTGCTGATTGTTACAGCTTCAGGGACTGTCTTGGCCTGCCGAGCTGACCTGACCTGAGCGAGTAATTAGGCTGAAGCCAGAGGCCCATGGCTCGACCGTCCGTATGTCGCCGTGTAGTTGTCAGGGATGGAGCTTTATTTTATTTCAGATAAGGCGCAATTAGGCGGATTTTACGCAAAAAAAGGTGCAACTGGCAGAAATAGCAAAGCTAAACTTACACGAGAATACCTGCCCACTGCCTCGCTACACCAGGCAACAAGTAACGTCTCGGAGCAGTCCGAAAACTGGTAAAGACCAAACGATCCGACACTCTCCGCATCGTAACCCTAAGCCCACGCCGAGGGCGGCATGACCCTCTCTCCGGGGACACCTGAGCCTGGGGGACCTTCAGGGACGCCCGGGACCAAGCTCGTGCGGCCAGAACCGACACGCTCAGCGCCGGGCCCCTCCCGACTCCTGACAATCGCCGCTCCTGCCAGCGAGAAGCCGAAGCGCTCCTC